GTGGCAGAAGCCAGTGTGCTGGTTTTAAAGCTTCCAGCCTTGCTCACTGGTAGTGTGGGTCTCAGTGGGATGCCCTATGACAGAATACATGGAGAGGGGTTCAGGTTGCTTCTTTAAAAACCTAGGAAATTATGCATGAAAGACTATTAATAATGTCATTACAGGTTTGAGTCAAGCACTCAAAAGTTAGGAAATGCTGGAATGAAGGTTGCCTATAGAAGCTTAACTTATCCAGTGTGCATATGCATAAAATTTAGTTTTTAATTCCTTGATCATGTACACTGTGTTCCAGAGGACTCCTGCCTAGGTCACCACACTGGATGGGTTCTGCTCATCAGTACTTTGTTGTATTTTGTTCAGTGTGTAGGTTTAGGCTTCATTTTACTGTGTGCTGTTGAAACCCTGTTCTGAAGACAGAATTAACAATTTCTTCCTGGGCTTTTGTTTGAAACTCATCTCTATAGTATCTCAGTACTCCCTACATATTAATGGTGGCATTATCCCATTTTACAAATGGGGACCTGATGCAGAATGCTTAAGATTAAATGTATTTGCTAATTTTGAATGCCATTTTGGGAAGCCTACAATCTGATTTTTCAGTGCTAAACACTAAATAATAGCTGATCTCTTCAAAGCACACCTCCTGTTGAATACAATTGTAGCCGTGAATTCTCAATACATCTGCGTGTTAAACCTGAAGATCTCAAGTCAGGCATCCAGAAAACAGCAAACACAGTGTATTACTGATCATCAAAAAGTTGGTTTTAGGAACTCACTTATATTCAGAAAAAGACTTTCTGGCAGACGTAGGGTGAGAATCAAACTGTTCAAGGCAGCATGAAACTGTCTTAAATGTGATAATGTCTTCTTCCTTCTTACAATTCTGTCATTCACTGTATTCATTACAACTTTTGCAATCAATGCCCTACAGACAACAGCTTCCTTCACCCCACAGCCCTCATCCATACCTAGAGCAGGTGAGTCCTGGGCACTGAATGATGAAAGGCGCCTGTGGAAAAAATGGCCTCTAATTACATAATTAAAGAATATGTTGTCATGTGCATGTGCAAAAATGCCAAAATAAAGCTGCACAGAAATCTTAATTCCACCATTTCCTAATTTACGAGTGCTTGGTTTTGCACGAGTAGTGTTTTTCAAACTGTTTTTTTCTTTCTGTTCAATATGCTAGTTAATATTTATTTTACATGGTGTTGCTGTGGTTCATTTATTAATATTAGTTAAACAAATGGAAGATGGAAAGTGCTAGGTAAGTGCTAAGTATTATTTTTACTGTTCACCAGACCATATAATACTCCCAGCTATATTGTAGTAATGACTGCCCAAGAGCAATGCATAGTGACCGTGTGAATATCTGAGTGATTATTGATGATGATACCCAGTTCTATGATATTGGCTTTTAATTGCAATTTTAATACAGAAAGTTGGCTGTCAAAGGCTGAGGCAGTTGTTATGGAAAATCACTGTCATGACATCATTTGGTTAGAAAATAATGGGCCCTTGAGTTGGCAAAGGGCACCTGGTGAGTCCTGTGGGCCTTCCCCTATGCGTCATGACAGGAGTTTTATATTCCTGAACTCCAGTTGACACCACATTGATTTACCCAACAAAAGAAGGATCATGCAGCCCCCATCCTTAACCTCTGTAGTGGGGAGGAAGAATGAGCAAGAGGAGCTGCTGCTCTCTACAAAGACAGATCATGCCATGGAAATGCTTCTTCCTGCCTACAGGGGCCTTGCGTAGAGAGTCTCTAGACACTCCCATTGACATGGGGACTGTGGGCAGCAGTACAGCTGGGTGATAAAAGGAGAAGGAAGGGAGTGTTGGGATTGTGAGGGTGTGGAAAATAATAGTTTCTAAAGAGATTAACTAATAAGACATGAAGCCAACCTGACCTTGGACATTTTGCTCGTTCTTTTGTTTGAGAGAGGTTTTGAGTGCAATTCCTTTGTGGTAGAGAATGTGTCATTTTTCTTCCTAGTTTGAGTGCTAATAATAAGGCAAGTAGTAATAATAAATACTAAGAATTCTAGCTAATTAGAGGAGTGTGACTGTGATGCTTTTGAGCAATTCAGATCTCCCTACATACTGCAGTATCAGAAACTAATTGTTGTTATGTGCCAAGCAATGTGTTGGCAGGATTACACAAAGAAACCCCAACCTCCAGTGCTCTCCTTTGGCAGATAGAAATAAATTTGGATGCTGGGCTACTTTAGCCATTAGATAACTGGCAGATCAAATATTTAAAAGGAGCATATTGTTTAGATTTCAGTCCATTATGTTACTAATAGCCAATCAGAGGGCCCAGCAGCTTGAGCTTATTTACCCACCAACAGCAAAAAAAACCCCTTAAGTCATGCAGCTTGTGCACTTTGATTGGCAAACGATCATCTATAGAAGTGTAGTGTTCTCCAGGGCCATCCACTTGCTGTGTGTATTGCTTTGCTATGTTTTCTAAAAAGTTCGAGGCAGCTTCCTTCTTCCACCACCCTTTTTATTTAACTTGATTATTAAACAAAGAGCTTAAATTATTCCAAATTAATAAATGCCTCAGTCTGGGGTCCTTGTGTTCAGCTATCATTAAGAAGTGCATGCCATCCCTAGGGAAAAAAATGCCTTTGCAGATACCCTGTATAGTTTCCTCATGCAAATAATTGTCCTCCTAGGGCAGTCCTATTCCTCTGCATTTCCTGCACAGCCACAACAAATCAAATCCTCATGGACCTCTACATTTGCCCACAAAGTTATTTTATGGGTAGAAATAAAGAGTAACAATATTCTGAAACCTTAAAGGTTGGGAGAGTATGGGAAGTTCAGCAGTGCAGTGAGATTCATCCGAGCCAGCAATAACTTGTGCAGTGCTGAATGAAAAAAGATAAAAATAAAGGCAAGAAAGGGAAGATATAAAATTATCCCCATATCTTTGATAAAGAACTGTTAAAATACAGATTTTCATTTAATTCTTCAGGGTTTTTGTTCAGTAGAAGGGTTTAACCCGCAGATTGGGAAGCATTTTTCACCAGTCCTGTCAGTTTAACAACATGTTAATTCCTTTGAATCACTTGAGAAGAAGCTGTTTCCAGGAAACCTTTCTTGGGCTGCCAAAAGGGTAAGAATGCTGCCTTATATTATTGGTTGTATCCCAGCCTCCACAGCTAGTGTTGCAGAGTGATCATCTGGATTCATCAGAACTCAAACACTCACCTTGCAGGTTTCCCATTATTAAGACTCAAATTAGCTTTGTTTTCAACTGCAGTAATAATGACCTCTTTCTGAAAGCATCAGCATGGCCCCTCAGGAGTGACTACAAATATTCCTGAGTCAGAATCATGCCTTCAGTTAAATGTGTTGGATGCTCGTCCATTGGTCTCTTGGCTGGTTATGCTTTTGCCCATGTGTTAAGATGGCACTGTTCCTGGGCGCAGTATTATGCCAGTTTCACAGAGGCAGAGGTGCCAAGCAAAGTGGACTTGGATGGGCAGCCTGCATTGCTCTCATAGTGTAGTGAGAACATGCAGTAAGCTATCTTTTGTTTCTTTTGGTAGCAAGAATGTCAAACTAGAAGCATAAGCCTCTTGGCTTTTTTTCACGTTTGTTTACATCCACAAACTGAATTGAAATGAGCTACTTGGACATGAAGAAAAGGAATCTGTAGGATTCATAGATGTGTGTGGCTGCAGATAGTAGCAGCTTTTATTGCTGTGGCTGTCTGGAATAAGCACTGAGGACAATGATGCATCAAATTGTAGTCTATAAGGAGAACAGTTCATAGTCCCTGTGAAGAAAAGACTATAGCAGTTGAAGAGGATGTATTCATGTAAGGACTACAGCCAAAGGAGTAGTCAGCCCTCTCCCTCTTCCACCCCCTGCTTCACTCCACTACGCATTTATGATTGGTGTCTGCTACCTTTTCATGTATAAAGAGATGTACATCAATACTGAATAAAGTCTTAATCATTTTGTATGCTCCTAGTTTCTATGAAAGAACAAAGAGGGATGATTTTGCTGATAGCCATGACCAGGTCAGAGTTAGATCCACAATTGACCATTGAAAGAACAGCGAGAACATTTTAATGGGCATTAGCTATGTATTGAGAGCATTTTAATGGGTTTTAACTATGCATATGTCCATGTAGTAGCAATCATTATACCTGAGAATCCCTGTTCCCAGGTAGAGATGACACTGTTCTCTGTAGTACTGTATATGTATATACCACGTAACAAAACTCATTGACTTCAGCAGGAGTCTACAGAGAAGTAATAGTCCTTACAGGCTTTTCTCTTTGCAGGATTGTGGCCATTGACAAGATGCACTTTCTGTCATGGAGAGTATACAGATGAAATATACCCTATCAGTTAGTCTTTATAAGTCACCATAGCTGCTTACAGATGTGAAGAAAACTCCCCCAAAAGCTGCACTTTACTTTCAGCTTGATGCACCCATGCATCGAGCACAGCAGATGTCCAGAGGCAGCATCATATTAGTTTGACCCAGCTCGCCCAATGTCTGTATAGATCGTGTACCACCCAATCTTTATAGATGCTGGAGTCCCGGGTCAAGCTAACACATTTCCTTTTCTGGAAAATGGTGGGGGGCATATTTCATGTCTGTCAGTGCCCCATTTGATTTGGTTTGGGGCACAATGGAGAAAGGAGAGGCTTGTCTTTATTTCTGACAACAGACTGTAGGCACAGTCACAGCTAGAAAGGAACCTAAATTCAATGGGTTCAGATAAGCCTTTGGGTTTCCTGACATGAATATAGCCAGTGCAATAGCCAGTTGGTACAGCTGGCAGATTCTCAGTGATGTCAGTCTTGAGAAACAGGGGACTTTTGCTGTTGACTTTTTATGCGCCTATTTCTAAGATTCCTGCTTAGCCCCTGATACAGATGATCTTGAAAGTACCATACCACCTACTGTATGTAACTAATTTAGAGGAATTGATTGTATTCTTAATTATGCCACATGTGTTCTTTTCTAGATGACTCCGCTAATAAACCAAGCATGTGATGTCTTGCTGAGTAATTTGAAAGTTTTTGCAGATTCTGGCAAGGCTTTTGATATCCAAAGGTACGTTGAAAACACTAGAACAGAGAATCATTTTTTTAAAAAAATACCT